GGACCGATGGAAATATTATACATTATTACCGTCTATATATATATTATGATAGCAGGAAATATATGTTTTATTTTTTTTTTTTTTCCGATGGCCGCGGCGGCGGCACGCTTATGGCTCGGTCGGTTTTTTTTTTATTTTTTTCTTTCGCCCGTTCGTTTCCGTACTACGAAAACGATTCGTCGCGCGACGAATATTGTCATAGCGCGAGCCCAGAACGGTTTTATTTCGGATAACGTCTACGGCGGATAAACGTTAAATTTCGCGGCGGTCCGAACCGCCGTCGTCCGCAGCTTGCGCGTTACATACGTCCCCCCACCCTCCCGTGTGGGTTTTTCTCGCACGGCGACGGCCGAATAATCAATCAATCATTATTATTTTATACGCTTAACGGCGAACGTTTTTTATTATTTTTTTAACGTATCAACGCGCCCACGGCTCGTGTACACGACGCTCACGCCCTGTCCCGAACAACGCTGCCTACGCGATATGCGACGTAGATATTGAATGTCGACCGAGAAGAACGTCTATTGTACGTATTATTGGTACACAAAGTGACGACGGCCCGTCATCGCGGGCGCTCTCGGTAAATCGAGCTCGACTTTTGTAAAATACAGCCGCGGCTGTATAGGTATACATATAAATATGTGTGTGTTGTGTGTGTGTGTGTGTGTTGTGTGTGTGTGTGTGTGTGTGTGTGTGTGTGTATTATCTAGAGCTCGCGATTTTCACCGAGTGTTAACCGGCACGTGTGCACGGATCCCGTGTACCCGAATGACTTTATGTTCGTCAGAATCCGATTAAAACTTCGTAAATTAGACCGGGAGTACGAAGCAATTTTTCTATCGAAATTTCGCATTGTAATTTATCTCTATACGATTGCGCAATACAAGAGCGTGACCGATAAAACGGTTTTATAAAAGAACAATAAATATGCGTTAGAATTCGGAACGGATGGAGGAGTCGGTCGAACAATTTGAGATTGAAAAAAAAAACGAAACCAAAGAGACGTACATAACAAGTATTGCATTATAAAAAATTTGAACGCGATCACGCGGGCACGCGGATTTTAACGTCCGTTTGAACGTTTTAACGCTGTTTTATCAGGAACACGTTTGTCCGTGTTTTCGAACACACGTGTAACGGGGCACTAGTCATATAGGTACACTGCCGTCGTCAACGACGCTACAAGTGTGCCGCGTTAGACGTGCCGCATACGACGCGCCGATCCGGGTCACAACGCGGACACGTAAGATAAACCGCAGCGTACGCGTTGGTGGATCGGCGGCGATCGGCTTTCTAAAAAAAAAAAAAAAAAAAAAAAAAAAGTAAAAAGTCCTCAGAGAACCGCGACCGACCGGTTACAATTTTTTACGCAAATAAATTCATAAATCGCGCGCCGCGACCACAGTTCGGACACCGCGGCACCGAACGCGTTACTACCGACCGCGCATGTCGGCGTGAAAAAGCGATATTTTCAATTTCCCCCCCCCCTCCCCCATCATGACTTTCGATTGTATTCGTCGCACACAGCTCGACGATCGCGGCGTAATATTGTCGTTATCGTTGTTATCGTTATCACGGTATCACACGGCGGCGAGCAGCGGCGCGCGGTTCGAAAACGCCCGTCCCGCATAACGTGTGTGTGTGTGTGTGTGTGTGTGTGTGTGGCGCGCCGTAAATCGTCGCGATTGGGGNNNNGGGGGGGGGGGGGCGCGGTGTGACACACTGAGCCGCGTCGACGTGAAAGGAATTTACAATAAAATCCGTTCGCCCGGTTCGATTTACCTATATATTTGTATACGCTTACGTATATATATGTGTGCGTGTGTGTGCGTGTGTGTGTGCGTGTGTGCAAGTGTGTGTGTGCGTGTGTGCGCGCGTGTGTACGCGGTGTCAAAAAACTGGTATTCCGTTAGCGCGACGCGTTTAAACTCGGTTTTCCGAAACGGAACCCGAACTCCCGCGCGGGCTCTTGACCGTTCCGCCGCCGTACCGTTTTTTTATTCCGCCTCGTTTTTCTCGGTCCGCGGCGCGCGCGCCTTTCGCTCGCCGCTGAAAAACGAAAAACTTCACGGCCGGAAAACCTCGCGCCGACCGTAAACGACGCAGGCGTCTTCTCGCGGGACGGTTTCCGGCGGCGGATCCGGTCTCGTTGGCGCGCCGGGAGGGGGGGGGAGGGTCGCATTTTTGTAGACTTTTCGCGCGTCTCGTTTTCCCCCGGACAACGCGGAACGACCGCCGGGAAAATGGCCGGTGGACGCGGCGACAACGATTCCCGTTCGTTTGGATTTCGTTTTTCATCCGACGAACAGCGGCCGCGGAGGAGACCCGACGCTGTCTACCGGACGCGCTCGTATTATTAGCGCTTTGCAGACGCTTTGGGACGATTTTCGCAATATCCGGGTATTGTTTCGGTTGTTGTTCGTTCGTGAATCCCGATATTTATATTTATTTTACGCCAACGCAAATAATGGTAATTTAAAAGCGCTTTGAATTGCATCGCGGTACGCCGAGACGACCCGTGTACCGAATACACCATAATAATTGTGTTTTGGCGAATCGACACGCACGGTTTTCGATCCGAATTTATCGACCGAACGTCGGTCCGAATTATTTTTCGTTCGCAACGACGTGTGTGTGTGCATATAACTGACCGTGCCGACTGCCCGCCCGGGACGGCGGCCCGCCCGCGGTGCGAATGTGTGCGTCGGGTTCCACGAAAGCGGGCGATTTATGCGTGACGCGCCGATAGTTTTGTTTGAAAACCCGCCCGGCCGGACCGCGAAAACGTATCGGAACCGAGCGCCCGCGCGCGGAATGCGACTGGGTCAAATATAAGGTCAGCGGGACAACCGTGCCCGATACTGAATTCTATAATATTATACGGAATTCCGGATTTGTAATACCGGGCCGCGAGCATATATTATTATTATATTCATTTGCATACACGCGAGTAAATTAAAATCGATCTGTTAAAAGAACACTCCTAAAATAACTTTTCTAATAACTCGTCCAAACGATTTTCTACCGGCGTATGATGTTTCGACGTCGATTAAAAAAATAGGATTACACCGTCGATCGCCGTCGTTTTTCGAAAGAAAAGTCCGCAGGAAGGTGTTTTGTAAAACGATTTAATTTTTATCCGTAATGGTACTTTTTTTTTTTTTTTTCACTCGTCGCCGGTGCATCCCGAAACTCAATGAAAATTATGAAAAAACCCGCCGGCTTTTCCGGTTTATCCGGAAAACCGTACGATAAAAATCAAGAAAAAAGGACCGCCCCGACCCACCGTATAACTGAAAAAAAAAAAAAAAAAAAATGCTACGGCGTCCAACGCAATGCAATGTTTTCGGCCGTAATACATATCCGCGTAAAACCGATACGTTCTTCGATTCGTTCCGAGTGCTCGAAACGGCGTTCAGGGGGAGAAAAACGTGAAAGGTCGTTCGGAAATCGTGCAGAAAGCGGCGACCTCAGCGGTGTCCCCGATGCGTTTACGGAAAGGCTGAAAACCGATACTACGGGTCCGTTTGACGTTTGACCTCGCGGAAACGCCGCGGCGGGCGCGACCGTTTCCCGCGCGGTTACGAGGCCGCCCGACTGTGTGGCGCAAGTAACGGACTTCGTTTCGAAAATCCCGTGCGCGCGGTAACGGGCCGGAGAAAGGTAACGGCCCGCGTCGACGAGAGAGTTCCCGCGGTCGCGTTCCGCGGCTTAACATCACCGCGCGCGGGTAAAACCGTTTCGAACGCCCGTCCGCGTTCGGACGGTCGTTGGGTTTTTTTTGATTTTTCCTTTTTCCGTTTTTCACTCGACATTCGACAAACGTATTTACGCGGACGGCCGAATGACGCCCGTACCTCACCCGCGCGTACGCGTCGATGACATCACGGCGGCGGCGTCCGCGCGCGCGCGCCAACGTTTTTTCACCGGCCGAACCGATTCCCGTTACGCGCGTCGCGGCGGCGTTTTACAGTTAACCGTCCGCCAATAGCGTACGCACGCGCGCGAATGACAAAAAAACCAGTTTCCGGGGCCATAAAAAAAAAACAAAAAAAAAAAATGTGCCGGGGCAGCTCGTTCGCTTTTGGAGTTTTTTCGCGTACGGGCCTTGCCCGGTCTCGGCGGCCGGCACCCGTATCGTAAAAAAATACCACGACGCACGCGCACGACGACAAAGCATGTGCGAGGCGCGCGGCGCGTCATTTATATCGTCTCATTATTATTATTTTTTTATTGTTATTATTTTTAACGCGTATCCGCCGCCGGTATACATTACCGTGCGATATATACCCATACGCCACCACGGACCTCATAATAATAGGTGCACGCGTACGACGACGGCGGGTCGTAAAAAAAAAGCGTTCGCTTTTTCGGTTTCTTTTTATTATTATTTTTTTCCGGATCATCCATCCGCGGCCGGGTCACCTCTATCGGGTACCGCGTCGCGCGAACGCGCAGAGTGTGCCAGTTCCGATTTTCGCCGTCGAAACGTTTTTCTATTGTTTTGTTCCGTTTCGTTTTTTTTTTCGCGTTTCACATCGGAAACAATAGGCCATTGCGTTCGGCGCCGCAACATCACAACGGTTAGCGGTCCGACGTTTTACCGAAATCTCCGCACAACGCGGCGGCGACGACGACGACGGCACACGAAAAACGACAATTTACATTTTCGTCGACTGCAACGCGGCCGTTTCGCGTTCTCCTGGCCCACTCAATACCTGCAGGACCGTACAATGACAACGTGCGACGTTGCATTTCACGTACGGCCGACACGTGATCGTCGACCGCGCGTGACATTTATTTTTACGCATAAAATGTCGCGGACCGGTATCGGTCGACAATTTTCCAACTATAAAAAACCCGACCGTACATCGTATCGACGGGCAAGGACTTTTCGTCGCCGTCGAACAAACCGACCGAAACGAACTTTTCGCCGGGCGTGGGTCTAGGACAATAACGATCGCGTACCCGACTCGCATTTTCGAGTTAAGAGGACGTTGCGCGCGCATATGTCGTTTATGTCTTACAAAAACGAGATACAGTGAAAACGTGTTCAAGCAGCGAAATACACAGAACACGCTTAGTTTCGACGAATTAAAAAACCGTTGAAAAGTCGTTATACATAAACGGTAAATTGACTGTTATACTCGGAGAAAACGGAAAAAAAACGTAACGTCTCGTCCTCCGGAATATTGTCGTCTTTTGATTTTATAACAAGTGTTTCCTCTAAAACCGAAATTGAGCGAGTTCTGTGTGGTCTGCGTAAGCGTGTGTTAATTATACTGTACGTTTGTCGGAGACAGGCACAACAAATGCATGTGTACTTCACATAACTATCCGGCGTACTGTTAGATTCCGAGCGAATAATATGCGTGTACCTATATACATGATTTTGCCGTGGTACGTTTTTATGTCGTTTTGTGGTTTTTGCCACGAATTTTCTGCCAGAATGTTCGTTCAGATCTTCCGGTGTAGTTTTTTTTTTTTTTTTTTTATAAACCACATTTCGTTTTCCAGTCGGTGTCATTTTCGTATTGCCCTTATAGTTTTATTAATAATTATAAACACACCGCGAAGAAAATATTTCGTTCACAACGGTTTATCGTCAACTACGGATATAAATCCATTTACTCTATGAGCCTATCATCCCTGCAATTTCTCTCCTGCCACGGTTGTACTCTCATCGGAAGTATGAGTAGTTCATTTTTAGATTTTGAGCAGAGCGAGGAATGCATTGGTCTTATAATGACGTTTATTTTTTGTTTATCTGTAAACAACTACCAGCAGTTTTGCTCCGATTTAAAATGATAGCACTTTTTCTGAAAACTCTTTTATCAGACTGGGGTCGTACTTTAGGGGGGTTATTTTTTTGATTTTTCCAACAGTATTATATATTAAAATAATTCTATTTTTATGAATAATAATTATTGTCGTACGCCTTATAATAATTACACGTGTAGACACTGTAGTCGACAAACAACAATACTCATTTCTATACCGTTACGGTTTCCTGTGACCGACTTTCGTTTACACGCATCATTTCGTTTAGGTTTCTCCTGTCGGTGCGCCCGCCTATTTCCTACGCGAGATCGGTTACCGCGGACTTCCGGCTTTGTACGAAGGCAACAGAACTAGATGAATTTCGGACTCGGGTACACTTTACTTTAGCGTTTTTCTCTAGGAATACCTATTACATTGTTATCGGCATTCTCGTCGGATTCCATCTTGTGTTCAAATTATTACGAGGGTTGTCCCAAAAGTAATGCACAATTTGCTCTGAATAAATAAGTTTTTATTTTAAATTAAATACAATATTATAGACCTTCGATATAATCTACCTGCTTGTCTATACACGATTGCCATCGTTTCGGGAGCGCTTGAACGCCGCATAGGACGCCATCTTTGTTGAGTTCACGGATCCTTCGGCTCACTTCTTCATTTAGTATATCTAAGTTGGGAAAACGGATCCCTCTAAGTGGTTCCTTCAGTTTTGGAAATAAATCAAAGTCCGGGGGACTTAAATCCGGCGAATACGGTGGGTGTTTGAGGCGTTCCCATCCATATTTCTCCAAAAGAGCGACGACTGGTGCTCCGATATGCGGCCGCGCATTATCGTGCAATATGGACACACCATTTTGTAACATTCCTGGTCGCTTTTTACGGATTTCTGGTCGCAATTTTTTNAGAGCGAGGGTTGTTATCAATACTTATACGACCATCACGGAATCGCTGATGCCATCTTTGCACCGTACTACGATCCACAGTATCCGTTCCACACACTTCATTTAACGCGGCATGAATTTCAGGCACTGTTTTACCACGAATCGTTTCGATTTTAATGTATGCGCGTTGCTCAAAAACAGAAATGTGAGCCGACGAATTGTTCTCACTTTCGTTATCGCTCTCACACATCATCATACTTTACTAAAACAACTAAAACTGAAAACGCACGTGTTCGTTAGACTTCAAGCTACAAACTGATACTAAAATCAGCTGATAACATTACATTGCAAGACAGCTAGAGCGCGTTGTGCATTACTTTTGGGACAACCCTCGTATTTGGATTTTCTTTCTGTTCGCAACGCGCGACGGTTCGAATACGGAAATCCGCAATACGTATACGTATAGTATTTAAAAACAGACTAATATCAATATAATTTGATCTAATGGTTAATAATTTTTTTCACGCTTGACTGCGTGATTCGTCATTTCACGCTGATGTTGTTCCGTCCAATCATTTAATTGACCTGATCGGGGCGGTGTTTGGGTGGCAGGGGAGTAATTGTATAAATTATTTCCTCATTTTTCATAATTCGGAAGTTGAACCCGTTGTACTCCCACGTTCGCGAAGGGCTGGATGTAGCGCTCGTAAACTATTTCTGGGGGCGCTACATGCCTCGACACGGCTCTGAATCTAATCTACAATCTCGTTTAGTTACGGTTTAGTTCTGAATTTGTAAAAAAAAAAAAAAAAGGTATTTTGACGAGTTTTATACGCCACCATTTTAAATGTTCTCAAATATTATAAATCTTTAAAATAATTACAATAGATATTATGGTAATCTCTTAAGGACTTTATTTGTAGTTTTTAACAAATAATTAACAATAAGTTATGAAAATTTACAATTAACTAGCAGGCGTGACGAGAAATAGGGGCGACGGAGACTGTAGCCCTAAATTCCGGGCTCGATCAAAACAACCAGTTTCTATAATTTACCTAATTTTTACATTAACATAAAAATCATTTGCAGTTTAATTTCATAATATTTTACTTTAAAAAATCAATACATATTAAATTAAAAACTAAATGTTAATAATGTAATAATTACATTGTATCGTATTATATGTGTTAGTAGCGATATGATATTTGCTTTTGAATACCTCAAACCTTCTTTTTGTTACACACATTTTAAAGGACGACGTTTAGTGTTAGTGGTTATTTTAATACTCGGCATTGGGAGGGATTAGTTTGTTTCTAGTACCCATGTTTTCTCTCCACAGCCCTTTTAACAAGTCGCCGACAAATCAGATCGATTTTTATTTTAAGTAGCCGATGAAACGACCTGTTGTTTTCTCAAAACATGCTATACAGGAAGACTATCATGCCTCGTGGAGTGATCCGATTAAGATATTTTCTATTCTATTGGAAAGTGGAAAACTTTCTACAGAACGTGTTGAACTTTGTTTTTTAATTATGTAATAATCATAAACCTCAAAAAAAAAAAATTCGAAATTTGATTGTTTTAAGACGCTTGAGAGTTTTTCCTGTAAAGCATGGATATGAGCCGAAACCAGGTCACCCGCCTTAGGCCCTTTCAATAAGTATGGTTAATTTTTTTTTAATGTTCATTAACGATGTTGGCTTCGTTTGATCACCTCATATACGTGTTCATAGAATGTTCGCAATTATCACTTAATGATATTGATAGACTAAACGACATTTGCTAGGTATTATTTAACGAATTATGAAATATTTTAAAACGACAGCTACACATTGTAATTACCCATCAAAAATTTATGTCAAGAGATTAAAAAAAAAAAAAAAAAAAGAACATTTTTAAATGTAAACAAATAATTGTTTTTATTATTTTTTTTATACATGTATGAACTTTTTTAGTCGATCACACACATCTAATAAAAATAACTATAATATAATAACGCGCGTCGTTTAGCGGTTTAATGAAAATATAAAATTTCATAGCCTGCACACTTCTTACTGCCTACCGGCCTTTCACAATATTTTATTATCGGTGTATCGTTTATGCATAAACGTCTCGTTGGATATTTTATTATTTACTTTATTATTATTTTTATTACCTACTTAGGTACGGTGTACAACGTGTTTTTTTTTTTTTTTTTTTTACATAATTAATCGTTGAGCTACAGTAATTACTTTCTCGGTGAAAGCTAATAAAAAAAAAAATGTATATATATACTGCTATACATATCATATTAGATTTGTTTCCGTTTGAATGGCCTTTATAAGGACCCACCACCGCACGACCGTTTTACGATCCCGATTTTCGACTTGTTTGTTGTTTGCCGCGGCCCGGGCCTGTAGGACGCATTCGCCGGAAACGCGCGTTTTCCCCGGCGCCCGATTTCGAACGGTCGGCTAATCGAAAATCGAAACCGAAAGCAACCACTGTCCGCGTTTCTAAATAATATAAAATTGTCACCGCAGTCGCGAATTGTACGCTACCAATCGAACATCGCGTAGAAAACGCAAAACGATACGGAACTCGTACGGGCCGAACGGATTACGCGGGGCGGGACGCGTGCGACTAAATAAACGACACGGTACGTCCTTAGATTCGAATTTTTCGCGTTCGGGGTTTTCGCACGCGCGCCGCGCATAATGTGCGAATTATTCATTTACGGAGTCGGGAAAAATATCACCGCGTTGTTATTATATTTTATTGTCGTCGCTCGTTATACACACGCGCGCGCGCGCACACCGAACGCGTGTAACCTGGCCGACACGGAATCGAATGCGTAAACGCAAATGATAATACGCGCCGACCGCGTCATATGAGCGGGTTTCGCCTTTAATTCTTTACGGGCTATAGATTAGGATAGGTCAATTTTTTTATTTATTTATTTTTTTTTTTTTCGTCGTATATTACCGCAGTGTTTATCGACGACCGCGCTACACGATAACGCAATAATATCATTTCGTTATAAACATTATGATACTCCTGTAACGTCACGTTTTCGCAATATCCGCGTACACAATACATAATGTCGGTCGGCGTTATTTTTACGGTTGTGTGGGTATACGCGAGTGTATACATATATATATATTATTTTTAAACGCGATTTTCCCCGCCCCCCCCCACCCCTCGCCGAACCGTACGTGATCGTCGAGGGCATAACCGAAGATCGTTAAACGGAATTATAAAATAACGTATACACACGCTATTATTAATATCTCGCTGCGATTAAACTGCAATTTCAAAAACAGAACTATTAAATATATTTTTCGTATTTTTTTTCCACCATTAAAAGTACGTATTCTCCACGGTGGATAATAATAATAACATACGCACGTCTAAAAAAATAATGTACACCTACCTATATATATAAATGCAATATTAATATGGTCGCCTACTCCCACTCGGTTTCGACTTCCACCTGCACGAAATCTAGACGTTTTTATCGAGATTTAAAATCAAAACCGAGAAACACGCGTACGCCCGTTTACTCGACATGAAGAAAAAAAAAAAAAAAATACAAGCATATATGTGTAATATTAATTTTTCGATATTAATTATCGATAAAAACGTCTACGTCTTTGTATACGGTTAGTATAGCTCGGTTTCTAGATGGGTATACATAATAACATTATATATGCTCGTATAAATGGGATAACAATGTTCATCGGGTTTCCTCATCGCCCCCTCCCATCCTTTAAAAATAAAACGGTAAAAATTGTTTGTAAATTAATGACGAAAAAAAAAAATCATCGGTTTTGTTTGTTTAACAATTCGTTATAAATATAATTGGTTGAATCGGTGAATACAATGATAATATTATAATGTAACCGAAACGCAAACAAAAGTAGAGCGCCGGCGGTAACCGAAAACCTCGATCGGTCGAAATTCCCGACAAGCGAAATACAAATGTACCGTTCGGTTGTTGTTCAAAACCGAAATCTTCCCGTGCGTTTACCGTAATCTAAAATTGGCTTCGCGTTCCCGCTGGACTTTGAGCTGGTCGAAAAGAGACGACGCTACATTACTCAACGCCGCTCTATTTTATTGTTTTTTTTTCTTTTTTAAATGGGCATACAATTACGGTACAATGCGGACTACTTGTGTTGTTCTCTACAGTGATAATAACGTAATATAACGCATAACAAGCGTAACAGTATAAATCCGATCGAATCCCCGCCGAACGGAGGAAACTGTTTAATTAGTAAAAAAAAAAAAGAAAAGAAAAGATAATAATAAAACGTTATTATATTACACTGTTGCCGGTAGTTTTATCAGACCGTTGTTCGTTTAACGGTGTTTATTTTTTAAGGAACGTAAAAAGTTACGCCGCCGCCGTGTATTGGCACATTAACGTAAGATAATAAATATTATATCACAGAGGTTATCAACCGTTTTAACGAAATCGAGCTCGCGGTGTTTGTCGAATGAAATGCATAAAACGAAGGTGTTATCGTTCGAAATTAATAATACTATACGTTTATTATTATGAACGCCGACTGACCGTTAAAATAGTAATCTACGGTAGACTGCGGTGAGGCGGTAACTCGCATAATAAATGTTTGGAAAAAAATGCGTTTACACGAAAATCCGGTATACACGTGAAATATTACAATAACGGACTCGTGTTATTGTTAGAACCGTAATGTCATTTCCGGGATGTGAATTAAAATTAACCGCAGTATATCGGAAACAATAATACAAAACATAACGCGTTTTTTGTACACATCATACGCGGTTTGAAATTGATTAAATTAAATTAATGTTTCCTATGGAAAAACGTGTAACGCGGCTATGATAACCACGATGTTATTCGTTCCACCCCCCTCCCCCCTCTCCCGTTAAATCATTATTTGCCGAACAAAAGAACAAAGATAATTTCCAAAAAAAAAAAAAAATAATAAAAAACACAACGTCCGACGCGAAGAACTACTATGACCCGCCGTGTAATGTTAATTACTATTTTAATCTTACGGACGCGTACCTGCCTGTATAATATTCTGTATCTAGGCGATTAACGAAATTCGAATATTCACGTTAGAGCCGTGACGTTCGAATGCCGACACTGTACTCTCCGGGGTCGGTAAATTGCGTTCCCCAAAAACGGTCATAATCATATACTGCGTAAATTGCGGCCCGGGCGTATTTCGCAATAATATTATGTCCCTAAATATTTTCTGTTCACGCGTACGCGTTGTGTCTAATCGATATTATCCTTCACGTTCTTCGAATTAATATTTTAGCAAATTGTGAAAGCGAAATTGACGAATTCGACGATTACTTTCAACGTTTTTCTTCCTTTCGCTTTTCGTTACGTTCGTTTTTATTAAATTGATAAAAATAAATTATCATACACGTTTTTATTATTTGTTTTATTTATACATTTTTAATTATAAACAAAAAAAAAAAAAGTGAAATAAATATTTTTAAGTATTTTTACGCGTACGCGTCTCGTTTATTATCGGTTATTATTAAAGCCGGGCCCGTAGCTAGACCAAATCATCAAGTGGGACAAATTAAATTTTAGAGGGACGTTAGAGAAAACAATATTGAACACATATACACATTCAACACTTGTTGGGGAGAAATGTTCCTCCTCGCAAGTGACCTTTTTCTATTCCTTTTTTTGATACAAACTGTTGCTGATGGATGACTAAGGATCGAAACTTAATGGCTATTATAAAGTACAAAATACGCTTGCATTTACGCGTTTAAAATAGTATAAATATTCTTTAAAAATATGCACTCATACACATTGGTTTTTATCCAAGATTTCTCTTGGTGTATACTTTTTCAAAAATAATTTTATTTAATTTTGATATTACAAATTTTGTGAATAGGTATGTTTGCCGACATTAAAGTTTTTGCACAAACATCGCAAGGGCAAACACTTTTTTGAAATATTAGTTACTAGCTGTTGAAGTCCAGTGTTTTTGTTCTTTTCATTTTTCCTAATAACTGCTCGTTTATGTTTTTCAGTATTAATGTGCAGTCGCGACAAATTATTTGTCACTGTTTACGTTCACCTCACATAGCTTGCGAAAAATAATAGTTCTATCGGTTTTAAATATTACATCCATACCGCAGTCCGACACGAAGTTTTTCAAACGGTTTGTCGCGGATATTGTTTAGTTTTCGGCATTTTCGGCAATGAAATAAAAATAATACATTCGAAACGATACAAGAACAACGCTAACTCGCGAACGTATTCGTCAAAACCGACACTTTTATTTACGGATAGGTATATTCAGGCCCTTCGTAACGTATTTCCCCCCTAAAGCGAAAATTGTATTGCCGTCGTTTTTGACGAAATTTTAAATTTCATTTTACCGCTTCAATTTCTTTAAAATGACACTCCCCTCTAAAGCAACGTATGACTTGCTTGTGCCCTAGCGACGGGCCTGGGTATATTAATATAATCAACTAGAGCCATTGAACTGTTTCCTAATAAAAGTATTTTATAGAATGTAATCGTACTTTTGATAGAAGCTATAAGATAAATATTCGAAAAACACGATACAATAATACTCGGTGATAAGTTTCGAAATTAGCGCATATCTATTTATTTATTTATTGCTGAATTTTTTTATAGTATTATCATGAATAATTAAAAATATGCGTCTAAAATTGGTATAATTAAAAAATATGTTCTTAAAACTACAGTCACTAAAATTAAAAAAAAAAAATTGTATACTATAAAGTTTCGATATGTTTTCCGTTGTTTCGATTTCTAGCTTACTCATCAATAATAATTTAATATCCCACAAAAAAAAAAAAAAAAATTGCGAGTGTATGTTCCGAACCCCATTGATGACCTTTTTTTTTTTTTCATCGACCTCTTCTAATCTAATCTAAGTATCTGAGTTCTAGTTACGCCGCTGCGTATATACTATATACACACTAAAAAAAATGTACGACTATATCACTGCAAATAATGTACCGTAGCGTAGTTTGTTGCCGTATTTTTTTTTTTTTTTTTTTAAATATTTTTATCGACTTTACTTCGGCCCGAAATCGTTGTATTCAAATTGCGTTTTAAATTTAAAAAAAAAAAAAAAAAAGGTCTAAATCAATGTTAAAATGATAATATTAAATATTTCGTTGGAAATTAACGAGTGTAACCGTGACTTTACGCTATATTAGAGTGTTATGTGTTTAAAAATAATTAAATAACGACCCCGTGTGTGTGTGTGTGTGTGTGTGTGTGCGTGTACAATATATATTTAACGATACAATGGGAATGATTTGCCCCATGGGCAGGACGCTGTTTCGAGTGGATCTCGGAGACATAAACCCGCAGCCATTATATTATTGTTATTTAATTTTTAGAACGACGATAAATCGTCTCATTCGAAAACGATTTTAGGAAAATAACTCGGAATAATATTATTTTACATTCAATTTTACTC